ATTAGGCCAGTAATTTCTTCTTACAACCAGTTCTCTGAACTGCTTAGAATGTTAACAACCGGTTCTAGCGAATAGATGCGAACTGGTAGAATCCCACCCCTGGTTATAATATAGGAAATGCATAATCTATTAGAGTTTCCTCCTGTAGGATCTAGTATGCTTACAGTATTTTGGAAAAATCTTAATTGCCTGTTTAATGTCATTGGGATTTAAACTAAGCAATTTCACATTTCAGATGCTCTGAAAGCTATGAAGTTGAATTTTCTGTTCATTTCTATAAATAAAAAACACTACTTTATAATGTTTAAGATTAAATTAAGAATTCTTCCTAAAATAGGAACTATTGATACAGTAAAAAGGCCATGATACAGTATACATTATTATTCGTATTAATTTTTTTTTATTACATTACTTTTATCTATATTAAAAATATTTTTCTTTAGGATTTATTCCATCTGTCTCACTTGTATCTATCTTCAGAGTTCTTTTTATTCTGGGTTCCTTCTGTAAGCTGATGGAGGATGACCACTGAATTAAGATTGAAGGGTTAGTTTAAAGAGAGTGACTGATGAATTAAAAAGAAAATAACCATAACATTTAAAATAAACAGATTGACAGCAAGCCATAGAAAACAGTGAAAAGATGGTATTAAATGTTCCATACATTTCACAATAATAAAAGTGTAATAAATATTACAATATAACTAATGTAATCAGCTAGCAATCAGTGTAAATGAGTAATCAGATGAAGTTGCAAGGTAAATTATTAAAAACTGTAAATGAGAAACTTTACATGATAAATCAGAAATTAAAGAATAATCAATGACAAAATTATATAAATTCTGATAGAAAGAAATTATATTAAATTCTAATTCTTGCATGTCCTTTTGCAATGTAAGCATCCTTTAATGAAAATATTTTAAGCATAAAGAGAAGTGTGATGTGTACTACTCTGTGGAGGCTCTGAATTTTTAATTTTAGCAAGCCTTTGCTGAAGAGAACATTTCTTCAGTGAAGCTTTGTATGAAGCAACCCCTCAAAATACTTCCACTTTTAGTATAGAATTATTACCTGTTCAGAACAGATTTTTTTTTATTAAAACCCATTATTGTATTGCTCTCATAGAATAGAAGAATAAAAGACAGACTTTACTGACATGACATGATTCTTGTTTCTTCAGTTATTTATATTCGTTTCAATTAAATATCATATAATCCTTAATATGGGAATATTGTTATATAATTAGTCCATGAACTAAACTTTACTGTGCATATATGTTTTAGCACTAGGAAAATTAAAACTTATGTTTTGAAGAAATCTTGGGGAATGAAACAGCTCCTTACCTTTTATTGATTGAATTTTAATGTTTGAGTCTTCTTGGGTGCTAAAACTTCAAAATTTTAATTGTCAGTGGTTACTTCGTTTTACTGTTTTGTTTTTGTTTTAAATATAAACAAGAAAAGAGAATAGAATCCTCTCAGAGTCCTTGGGCATATAAGCATTAATTGTTAAGTAAGAAAGAAAATAAACAAATAAAATGTTTAGCCCTAAGTTAAAACAATCAAAGGAGAAAGAATGTTTTCATTTTCTTTCAATTTTGTATAATAGTTTTCTGATTCAATCCAAATTATAGCCATCTTAGTGTTAATTTGTTGTGTTTGCCTGGTATAGCAGTACTTGAAATTGTCTAGGTGCTTTAATTTCTGTTTCCTTGGAGATATTGGCACTGATTGAGCTTTTTAATGTTTGGATCCTTGTCTAGTAATATTTGTACAGTTTTGTCTTCCTGCTTAGAAGTTTTGTTGATGCTTTTTGGAGGGAAATAACGTGTGATCTTTCTATTCTTTTAAGCAGCAGGCTGGTAAATTTAAATCCTTGTTAGCAGGAGGAAAATGGGCTCTTTTAGAGCAGTATTTAAATGATTCCCTTCGGATGGAAAGACGGGAAAAAAGCCATATGCCAACAAGTTTCAATCATTTTGAGATGAAATAATCCTTTATAATTTCTTGTGGATAAAGTTTGAAGTTAATGACTGATAAATTATCACTGTCTGGAAATTGGAAGTTCATTTCATTGATATTTTATACTATAAAACATAACCTTTTTTTAGACTGTCTTGTGTGTTGATTGGGTTTGAAGTTCAAAAAGCTTAATTACAAATACTGTTAGTTGCACTCAAGATGTAATCATTGGTAATACAAGATCACTGACATATATTTGAAAAACAGAAGCAATTGGATAATGAGCTGGAAAAGTAAAGTATGTACACTGCTCAAAAAAATAAAGGGAACACAAAAATAAGACACCCTAGATCTGAATGAATGAAATATTCTTATTAAATACTTTGTTCATTACATAGTTGAATGTGCTGACAACAAAATCACACAAAAATTATCAATGGAAATCAAATGTAGCAAACCATGGAGGTCTGGATTTGGAGTTACACTCAAGATTAAAGTGGAAAAAAACACTACAGGCTGATCCAACTTTGATGTAATGTCCTTAAAACAAGTCAAAATGAGGCTCAGTAGCGTGTATGTATGACCTCCCTACAACGCCTGGGCATGCTCCTGATGAGGTGGCGGATAGTCTCCTGAGGGATCTTTTCCCACACCTGGACTAAAGCATCCCCCAACTCTTGGACAGTCTGTGGTGCAACGTGGCGTTGGTGGATGGAGCGAGACATGTCCCAAATGTGCTCAAATTGGATTCAGGTCTGGGGAACGGGCGGGCCAGTCCATAGCATCAATGCCTTCATCTTGGAGGAACTGCTGACACACTCTAGCCACATGAGGTCTAGCATTGTCTTGCATTAGGAGGAACCCAGGGCCAACTGCACCAGCATATTGTCTCACAAGGGATCTGAGGATCTCATCTCGGTATCTAATGGCAGTCACCTCTGGTGAGCACATGGAAGGCTGTGTGGCCCCCTAAAGAAATGCTACCCCACACCATTACTGACCCACTGCCAAACCGGTCATGATGGAGGATGTTACAGGCAGCAGAACGTTCTCCACAGCGTCTCCAGACCCTGTCACATCTGTCACATGTGCTCAGTGTGAACCTGCTTTCATCTGTGAAGAGCACAGGGTGCCAGTGGCGAATTTGCTAATCTTGGTGTTCTCTGGCAAATGTCAAACGTCCTGCACGGTGTTGGGCTGTAAGCACAACCCCTATCTGTAGACGTCTGGCCCTCATACCACCTTCATGGAGTCTGTTTCTGACGGTTTGAGAAGCCACATGCACATTTGTGGCTCGCTGGAGGTCATTTTGCAGGGCTCTGGCAGTGCTCCTCCTGTCCCTCCTTGCACAAAGGCGGAGGTAACAGTCCTGATGCTGGGTTGTTGCCCTCCTATGGCCTCCTCCACATCTCCTGATGTACTAGCCTGTCTCCTGGTTGCGCCTCCATGCTCTGGACACTACGCTGACAGACACAGCAAACCTTCTTGCCACAGCTCGCATTGATGTGCCATCCTGGATGAGCTGCACTACCTGAGCCACTTGTGTGGGTTGTAGACTCCGTCTCATGCTACCACTAGAGTGAAAGCACCGCCGGCATTCAGAAGTGACCAAACCATCAGCCAGAAAGCATAGGAACTGAGAAGTGGTCTGTGGTCACCACCCGCAGAACCACTCCTTTATTGGGGATGTCTTGCTAACTGCCTATGCTTTCCACCTGTTGTCTATTCCATTTGCACAACAGCATGTGAAATTGATTGTCAATCAGTGTTGCTATCTAAGTGGACAGTTTGATTTCACAGAAGTGTGATTGACTTGGAGTTACATTGTGTTGTTTAAGTGTTCCCTTTATTTTTTTGAGCAGTGTATTTTCTAACAGAGATTGAATTTATTTCACCAGAGCAAGTTCAGAATATGTAATCTTCTATAACCCTTACTTACATTCAGAAGAAATAGAAAGCAGCAGTTACCAAATTAGGTACATAAACCATAATCTGTGCTATATATTTACAAGTTATTGCACTGTGTTCATATAGACATTGTGGCTTGCAAACCATTGTTTATGGCTCAGTATAGTGAGAGACTAGCCAGTGATGAATTTTGAAGCAAACAATGAATTGTATACACGAGTCTGCTCTCCAAACTTAATTTATTTGGGTTTTTTTAATAGCAGAAGAGCATTGCCATGTGTAAGGACTAATGTGGAAAAAAAAGAACCACCAGTTCTCAGGTTAGACAGAATTATCAAGTAGCTAGCTCCTAATCTCAAGGATTTAACTGATTTGAAAAAGTTGGAGGAGAAGGTCTAATTTTTGAACCCGCATGGGCACGTACAGACACACATATCACACTTATTTAGGTTTTTTTGTGTTACTAAAAATTCAGTTAACTGCCACTGATACTGTTTCAGGAATATTATAATGGAACACTTCAAGCTATTATACTGGGCATGGCAGATTCCTGGGAAGAGCATTTGAGATTTGAACTCTTTGTAGTACAAAATTTGTGTCAAATTCATTTCAACCAATCATCAAATAATGAGCAATAAGGTCATCCATGGATGTCAT